TACTATTTTAAAAAAATGTCATGTGATATTTTCATTTATATATATATATGTTACAGTAAAAGTATGATGTTTCTTGGAGGACCATAATAATGCCTATATATAGATGGAGGTATTTCTAATTACCAAGATAATTCTCTAAGATCCTTCTGAAGTGTGGCTTGAACCGTGTTGAAGTTTAGCTTGGCCAAGTCAAGTAAACAGATATGCCTGTGATTGTCTCTCTCGTAGGCCTCCATTTGCCATTTGACGTCGAACCACTGAACCCTCCAGTGTGACGGAATCTTCAAAGCATGGACCACATCTTTGGAAAGGTCATCATTCATGTTTTCTTGACTAACACTAGAAATGGAATTTCTGAGGGTTTCTGTTATGAAAGCTTTAGCCTCATGCAGGATATTTTCACTTTCTAAAGCTACATGTGAGGCCTCTAAAAGCTCCAGCATCACTCTGATATCTTCAATATGTAAACTTTTCTCTATCACACCTTTCCCGTCCATGAGACCACAAAATATGTCTGTTTCCATACAATCATGTCAAGTCACACATAGAATTTCAATCAAAATATTTGGTATATTGATCAGGCCGACAACTTGATACCACAGTGTATCAATTATATCATAGACAAATTGGTTACGTATAACTCCGGACAAATTAATTCCACTCGAGTTCCAATTACAAATGCTTGGAAATGTGCAAAATTCCTTATTGGGAAAGTTTGCGGATCAAACATTTTCTATAAGAATAATAGATTATACCTTGTGAAACTTGATATCCTTGCTGCCTAAGGACCCTGAAACATAATGAAGTAAGATAGAGATCATTCTTTTGAATGAAAGAATATGTGTTGCTCTTATGGGTAGATGCTATTGTGTCGAGACTTTTCTTGACGTCCTCTTCAAAATGATTCGTCAGGCCTAGTTTTCTAATGCTGTCAATTAGCTTTAACATGGCTTGCAAGTCCTCCGTTTCAATAAATATGTCTTTCACGTCTTGAATAAGCTTCTCAGCCTCCTTTCTGTATTCGTTTTTCTGCATAGAATCGTATACATCATATAGTATTAGTTACTCTAGTGGGTTATTTCATGAAAAATTAGTGGCGCTTCACACACACATAAATACATATCGTGTATGCAAATGCTAAATTATTGTAGTTTTCGTTTGTACATATATATGTCATGAGTGCACATATATCCAGAGTGTTTCTGTAGTAGAAAACAGTAACAGATGCGTAAGGAGTATTTTTATTGAATATCAAATAAGAATATGAATGTTTATGTAAATCTAACATCTTATTCTAAAAATTTACACAAGTCATGAGATAATAAATATGTTAGCACTAATAATTAAGGTAATTATATATACCATAACGAATATAATGGTGCGTGCGTGCGTAATGTGTGTGTGTACATAACATCAAACAAATAATTTTAACAGGATGAGAAAGTAGATCACAGAAAAGTGGGTTATTAAGCACAATTGGTGACCAAACACTACGTAGTACTGTGAGCCGTAATGTTGACACATTTATTTCTTGTAGTCCCGAGAACGTACCAGACGTTCACAAAGGCATTTCGGGGAAAAAAAAAAA